CAGCCAGTAGTCCGGCGAGTGGTCTGCTTGTCTACTTCTGCAGTCAGCAGCCTGCCACTGTTGGCGGCAACGAAGTACAGAATATATATACGAAATAGGTCCGCCCTCAGTAGGTGGAAGCAGATCAAAGGTGATTATAAGTTGACGGTCTATCTCAGTCCCCATAGCTGCAGTGGTGCGCGTGATGCTGTTGGACGCGTTTGTAACTATTCATGTGTCGACTTCGGTAAGTGGGATTTTAACTGTTAACTGGCAGTATACCTTTGTCGGCCCCGCGCATGTTTACAGCTTGACGTTCGCCAGTTTGATGTGAACTAAGCGCAGCAGTCCATGATAAACTCAGGTAACCCGAATCTGGGATATGGTATGTCTGGTGGAATCCATCTGATTCACTAGACATTTTTTATGTGTGACCAAAATACAGTTTTATGTACATCTCACAAAATTTAAGTATTACCAAGAGAAGCGGGTTTGGAATTTTTACTATAATCAGCCGGCTCCAATGCAAAATAAACTCATATCCTGTCACATAATCGAGACGGATCTGCGAATGTTTCTCTCATGGTATCCTCTTTCACACTTTAAAATAACCTATAAATATAAATCTTTTCAGTGCAGCTCACTCTGCGTCACTCCCAATCCAGAAATTGAACTGAAAACATATATGCGTCTCAGCAATTACGTCCTGTAGTTTCCAACCCAAGCAGTGTTGACCAAGCCTACAGCGTCCCAATTTCCCTTCAAACCAACTCATTAAAAGATCCGCTCCAACTGACCACGAAGGCAAAAGCATGGATTTTAAAGTCTACTTCGCAATTGCGGGTATGAACCACAGTAACGACCTCGATACATTGAACAATTTGTCTTTTTTTAGGCAGCTCCTGAGATACACTTGCTCAGTGTTTAATGCGGCGGATGGGTGGATTCCGACTGGAACCGAGTTGGTGCCCGAAGCTTTTTCACCGAATGGGGCGAGCGATTTCAGAAGCATGGGCATGAGTAAGCATGAGTAAGGTAACTTCTGAATACTGACTATTCCTAATCCGAAGACATCGTCAACTTTGGCGACTAATTACTGGACCCCAAACTGTGTGTTAAGCTGTGTTAACGAATTTGACCTTTAATTTGGTATGGCAAAGAATGAGAGAAGTATATGTGACCCATGTAGCTGCAGGTGCTTACTCCACGATTAACATGCAGAAAAGGACTTCAAATATTAGCAAAAAATACAAAATACCTTCAGTGTCTATGCTTCGGACCTCTTGATTGCAAAATAACCTTGACATCGAGACATGTGCGGCGCTTAAAAAATGGAATCAGCAGACAATAAGGCGGCAGCTCTCGTTAAAACACCTGACGATGACATCGAGGGCAGCATGCCTAGTGAATTATCATGTCAAGAAATCGCTAACAGACGTAATTTGTGGAGGCAGAAATATAATGTGACGAGTTTGCACTCTCTAGGAATCAAGGTCGTCATATGGAGCACCCGTGACTGAAGCACGTAGACGGTCAGCAGAATGCCAAAATTTGTAAAAGATGGGTTATCACTAGCAAACCGGCATTAATATATGTATGAAAACTTTGGTGTAATTTGTCACTTAAAATCAATGTAAGAAGTACTATTTGTTTAAATAACATTTTTAAATAACATTTTGTTAAAAATACTCAAGTTCGGCAGCCGTGGAAAATATCAACAAATCAGACCAATAAATGTAAATATAATCGCCAGTTTAAATCAAACCCACATTATTTCTTCCTTTGGTTGAATTTATTTATATATATTCCGGGTTTTTAATCACAATTACTTTAAGATTTTCCCCTAAATTCTGGCAAATGTTCGACCATTTTCAATGTTATCAAGCTTTCTTCCATAAATCCAGATTTTGCTCGACCTTTGTATCAAAACTTGTATGATAAGATATTTCTTAAAAGTATTTACCAAAAACACTACTTATGCATGTCAGTTCTAATGAAGATGGCAAAGTAGACTGTATTTATAAACTGGCCAAATTACCAGAACGAATTTTCGAACAAAAATAATATCTGCAACAGAAATCTGATACTGGTAATCCTCAGAGTAATTAAGAAACGTTCTATTATAGGTAAGGTTTTTAAAAAGCACTTTAGATATGATATTCAGCTGACGAACCTCTGCGCATGTAACCTTTTTCCAAGATAACGTCAAAGTGGCAATGGAGAATTTTGACTTCCACCTCTTTGGTGGTA